GTAATTCCAGAAAACCTAAAGTTAACTTCTGGAATTACATGTAAGATAGTTTTATAATACCCGCCCTTAAACACTCTGAGGCTGCCAAGCCAAATTCCCTTAAATAGCTTAAACTATCCAGCTAACAAATAATAATTGTGAAAATTCATTATTGTTTATTTATCTTATCATGGAATATGGAAAATAGGTTAGGTTATACAGACAGATCAAACACATCTGATCTGCGCATGCACGCTCTAGCTGCCCACTCCACAAACTCGGAGTTCACCGAGTCCCGAGCAATCAAAATATGTCAAACCAAACACAATCAAGCGTTGTCGGAGCTTCAAAAATAACGGAACAGAGACAAAAGTGCAAGCTCTGAGTGAACCCAAACGCGCGACTGGACGAAAATTACGCACCTCCTGGATAAAAATTAGGCGGTTTTTGTCAGAAGAATGCGACTATTATAGGATCATAGGATTAAGTACGTAAAAAACGATGTCTGCGGTTTTATTATGTTTTTTATGTGGTATTTATGATTCGATTAACTAATAGTCGCATGACGGAGACCGTGCAGCGACCAGGGTCCTTATTCTTGAAACACGGGAGCAGTGTTCCCAGGAGAACGAGTGTTCCGTCTTTCTTATTGATATATGCAAATATTAATATAACTAACAAAGACACAACACTCGTTCTCCTGGGAACGCTACTCTCCTGATTTAAGAATAAGGATGCCCGATCGCCCGATAGGCCAGTCCGCCCCTGTCCATTAGAAAGGAATTCGAATGAAGGTCCAGTGAAGGACGTTGAATTCAGAAACCAAGATGGTTTTCTGGTGACTCTGAGAGAGGAGGTGATAATACCACCGATGAGTCAAGTAGTGTGTCAAGCAACTCTACGCAGAGCTTCAAGGGATAAGGCTCAGCACATAGTTATCGAACAATGTGTCAGGATTGCTAGTGGCACGTGTTTTGTGTAAGAAGGACAGTGTAGTCCCAGTAAGGTTATTGAATATAACAGAGAAAGAATTAACTCTAAGAAGTAGATCTGTAATCGCTAGAGCATACGAAGCGGAAATTGAGCAAGCCAAGAAGAAGGAAGAAACTCTGCAAATAAGGAGTATTGACCAGAAGGGAGTCAAAGAAATTTTGGAGAAGTTAAATTTAGATAATCCCAAATCGAGTGATGAACAAAGACTTAAGCAGCTTGCAGGGCCGTAGCGATATGACTATCCCTAGAGGGGGAGACTGAGATGCGGCGCCGCCTACACGCCGCGAAGGCGAAGAAAAATATGTTTGGTGACCACATCCAAATTTCGCCAATTTTAGGCAAATGTGGGCATAATTTTTTTTAATAAAAATTAGATCAAAATGTTGTATTACTAAGGGCGGGTATTATAAAGCTATTCTGACAGATAACTCAAAGTTAACTTATGGAATTACCATGAGAAGTAACGTCATTCCTGGAGTTAACTTTTAGTTATTCGCCCTTGAAAACCAAACTTATGTATTGAGTGAGACTATACAGGGAGTTTGGCGGAAGGTTAGCCAGACTTGGTTGGCGTATAGATAGGCCCATTTCGGAGATATTTTATTAATACAATTGTGGCCTTAAGCTCATCCATTTTTTTTTTCATCATTTGTTTTCAAGAATTTTCAAAAATTAACCCTTAAACTTCTGTAACTTTTTTTAAATTATTTATGGAAACGTTTGTTGCGTGTGTTTTTGGTCTGTAGGGTATCCTTGATAATATCAGAAAGTTAAAAGATTACAGTAGTTAAAAGGTCCATTTTTGAAAATTCTTGAGAATAATATAAAAGCAATGATATAAAAAAAAACGGAGACCTTAAGGGCATTAGTGTATTGAGAAAATATCTTCGAAATGGGCCTATCTCTACGCCCACCAAGTTTGGCTAACCATCTGCCAAACACCCTATACCGGTTGCTTTTCAAAACCCGCTCACTCCTATAACTTTTTTATTTTTTCAAATAAACAAATGTAATTTGATGTGTTTATTTATGACCCGGATGTGCATTATTTGACGTATTCAATTTTTTACTATCACTTCCGGTTTGACCGGAAGTGACCCTAACTTTCTTATTTTAAATGAGACGCCAGGTAAATTTTTCCTCATTTCAATAGAAAACTACATTACGAGTACAATGACACCTCAATTGTCACTTTTTGACATTTCTCCTCCAAATTATTTAAATTTTTACTTTTTAATCTAGAGCGCCATAAATAAGTTAAAATGCTTAATTTTGCTCCTAGAAACATGGGAAAATTTGTTTTGAGCTTATTTTGAATTTTATATCCTCTAAAGGCTCATCCGGCACCCAAGAATGTCAAAGAAATAAGAGCTTTTCTTGGACTATGTGGATTCTATAGAAAGTTTGTTCCTAATTTTGCGAAGATTAGTCAGCCGTTAATGTATTTAACCAAGAAAAATATTAAATATCTTTAGGGACCAGAACAAGAGAGTGCTTTCGAAACCTTGAAGAAACTACTTATAACATTTCCTATTTTAAAGTACCCAGATTTCAGCAAACAGTTCATGGTCAATACGGATGCAAGTGCGACCGCAATTGCAGATATTTTAACGCAAGAATATGAAGGAAAAGAACATCCTATATGCTATACCAGTAGAACACTGAATGATGCCGAACGCCGATATAGCACCATAGAAAGAGAATGTTTAGCTATAGTTTTTGCCGTAAAAGCTTACAGAAACTATCTAACTGGTACTCATTTCGTTATTGTGACAGACCATAGGCCTCTCAAATATTTATTGACGATTAAAGACGCGAGCTCAAGACTAGCCAAGTGGGCCATGTTTCTTATGGAATACAGTTTTACGATTCAGTATAGAAAAGGAAATCTAAATAGCAATGTAGATGCATTAACTCGATTCCGTGAAGAAACTGACGAAAAAGAAGAAAGGGGACCACCCGTGATAGCTGTCGTTACTAGAGGACAAGAGCTGAAACCTGTATCATCTGCAATTTGGACAAAAAAAGAAATACAGAAATTGCAACAGGAAGATGAGTCGATAGACCGAATAAAGGAAAATTTGGATAATGAGAATTCCCCGTATTTTATTGACGACGGTATTATTTATAAACAGAGAGAAGAGTGGCAGCGAACTGACAGAATACTTGCTCCTAAGAAGATAATCCCAGAAATTTTGCGGATTTATCACAACGCAATTTATTCAGGACACCCTGGTCAGAAGAAGACAAAAGAAATAATAGAGAAGGATTTCTATTGGACATCTATAGGTAAAGACGTTAAGGACTTCGTGGAGAAATGTAAATCATGTAGCTTACACAAGACCAATTACCAACCACCAGTGACTTCGCAACACAACTTTGTACCAAAAAGTCCGTGGGGACGTATAACTATGGATATAGTAGGACCATTAAATAAAACTAATAATGGAAATCGGTACATGTTGACCTGTATAGATTACTTGACGAGATATCCCGAGTGCATTCCAATACCAGACATCAAGGCGGAAACGGTTGCAAGAGCTTTCGTCGAGAAGATTATATGTCGTTTCAGAGTTCCACGAGAAATACTAACCGATTGTGGAACGTAGTTTCTCAGTAAACTCTTTACTGAAATTTGCACTATTCTTGGAATTAAAAAGTTAAAGACTACACCATACCACCCAAGTGCCAATGGAATAATAGAACGGTTTCACAAAACCATAAAAACGATGATAAGTCATTACGTCGATGATCACCATGATAGTTGGGATGAAGTACTACCCTTTTGTCTTCTAGCGTATGGGAATTTGCCGCATGAGGCAACGCAAGAATCTCCATTCTTTTTAATGTTTGGGAGAGATATGGAGCTTCCAGTACATCTAATGATTCCACATGGGCCAGTAAAATACGACATAGACGAAAACTATGCTACAGAGTTAGTTACCAGAATGCAGAACGCCCACGAGTTAGCTCAGAGGAACATAGAGGTTTCTATTGAAAAAAGATGCGATAGACACAATGCAAAACGGACTAGGAAAGAATTCCAAGTCGGGGATTTAGTTTATGTGAAGAATCCAGTTTTACCAGGGAGGAATTTAGCACCAAAATTCCGTTGTAAATGGTCAGGACCGAGTCGAATTACTCAACAGCTAGGACCGGTTACCTTTAAAATAAAGGAGTTGCATGGAAAGAAAGAGCAGATTTTGCATGCTGAAGGGCTCAAACCATGTTAAGGGTTGGAGGATAGAATGATAAATCCTACACCAGATGACGGAGATAGTGAATCCCATGAAGAGGAGGACAATGAGGTTCTACCCAGAGGAGAAGATATTATAGAATTTCCACTAATCCATAGGGAAATGACAAGAGACGAGAATGAAGAAATCGTCGATCAAAATGGAAATGATGGCGTCAATGACGAAATTAGGGCGCAAGAAGAAGATGAATTTTTAGCACGGGGACAAGAATTACCCGTCAGGCATAGAGAAATGGAAGAAATTATAAATCAAGAAAATGAGGAAAATTCCGAAGATGAAGAGGAAGAAGAAGAGGTCGAGGAACACGAACCGGAAGTACGAAGAAGTACGAGGACACGGGACATAAAATGGCCCGCTAGATTTAAGGATTATGTAATGAAAAAGCTGTAAAATGTAGAAAAATCCGAGTATGTCTAGTCTATGTATATCTAACTAGGAATTAAGAAAATATTTAGAATACATAAGGAAGGATGTTAGCTATAAAATTTAAGAATAAGAAGAATAGAGTCGAATGTAAGGACTCATTGATTTAAAGGCGTAATTTAGGTGATTAGGGAAATAATTGTATAAAATTGTTACATACTTAGGAACATTCCATTAGAAATTAATAGGTATCAGGAGAATGACGAACTCGTTCCGCTACCACGTGCTAATACCTACCTAGGATAGAATATCAGAAAAAAAACGAGAGAATGCAAAAATTTACTAATGGAAGGTTATTGTTGCAGAACTAAGGTGGTCAAGAGATAAGGAACAAAAATCCACGCAAAAATGACCACTATGAAAGTTTTAAGCCTTTGGACTCAGATTGTGTGTGTGACCGCCCTGGTAGCCTATGATTGTCAAAACCCGTTGACCAATATTACCGTTATTTCATTGAGAGGAATAAAACCATGCCCTGACCCTGAAACAGGATACCACACTGAGGAAAGTTACGTCCAAATAATAGAGAGGAAACGATTTGAATTCGCTCAAGTACGGTCTTGTTTAGTTGAAGTAGTAAGACTAATAAGTAGTTGCGGAATGTTTTCCCATCAATCTAACGTAGAAGGGGGACTTTTAACTTACGTACATGAACTATCAAGGGACGAATGCGTTCTTGTACACGCATACGGACAATTTAAGGGGTTCGAGGGACACATAATTGGCAGATTGGTACCAAATTCCAGAGTATCCACTAGCCTAGTATTAGCGGGAAAACTTGATGATCACGGGAAATGCGCCGGAGCAGTATACCATGAAGATGGAAAATCGTGGGAGAATGTTGTAGTACAGGCAGATATCAAGGTGACCTCACAAGATTATTACACAAAGGTATCGTTAGAAACCAACGAAATACATCTGAGAAATGGAGTCGGATGTCCTTATATAGAAGGAAATTGCCAAGACAGTGTAAATGGAGTTTCTTCTTGGGAGATAAACCGCCTGAAGGACTGTTATCAATACAACATTGTATACGAGGGTGATGCCACTAAAGTACGTGAAAAGGACACTAATAAACAGGCCTTGTCTTTCATTGTAGTCGAGGCCCATGAAAATATATTTGCAGTACAGCTTGTGCAGAAAGAAAAATTATGTGGAGAAGAAGTATGGCAGAGTGAACATCCCAGATTAATCGTGCTCATAAAGCAAGTGGCCACTCAAGTGACTGTATTTTCTCAGTTAACAAAATCCTCGGATGCAGATTTAATAACGTACGTTAATACGAAATTCCTGTATGTGGAACAATCTTGTAAAAGAGGAATCAACAGCATGTTCGCGCAGACAGTTTACCGAAGATGCCTGCTATATAGAAAAATTCTGGAAAACAGACTTATATTAATGGCACTTTCACCTAACGCTGTCGCCCCGTTAGTAAAGAATACCTCAGGATACGTCGCAAAAGTCGCCGGGAAAGTGGTTTACCTGATCAAGTGTGTCGAAATAACTGTCGAGCTAAGGAGAGAATCCCACTGTTATGAAGAATTACCAGTAACAGCCTATAATAAAAGCTACTTTATGACCCCGATCACAAGAATTTTACAACAGCACGGAGAACAGACGGAATGCAACGCTCTTATTCCATCCCTATATAACCTAGATAACCAGTGGGTAAGATTTGACCCTTCACCCTCTACTGGAATCATTCCCCGTGAGCTAGAAGTCGACGCCGAAGAAAACTACCCCTTCATGTCGATTAAAGATTTAGGAGCTGGAGGGATTTATACGGATAGTGAAATCCGCAGGGCCCAAAACGAAATGATTTTCGGCCTAGGAAGAAATGTACTAAACAATATAATTATTCGAAAAATGGCTGGGCAGACAGTCCAAAGTCAGGGATTCTCCTCTTTAAACTTATTTGACAAAGAACTAGAAAATTTGGCAAATAGTACAATACAGAAACTCTATGGGTACTTCACCATTATAGGAGAATGGACCAGTGGATTCATTGGTATTTATTTCATAATACGAATTATAAAATTCTGCATTAAGACATTTATGAATGCAATAGCCATTCATAGGCTAAACGGATGTTCGTTCCATTTATTAGCATCCTTCTGGGATACCCTTACGCTATTTTTATTGCATCACAAACAAAATCAAGCACACGAAAAAATAATAAAGCTTCATGAGAAGGACGGAGGTACCCTTGCCGATGAACACAGTATTATTGAGATAAGTCAGCAAGAGAATCAAAGGGAAACTCGACCACCCATACTAAATTCTCGGACGTCCCCTCGTGCATTTGCCTACTTACGAAAAGAATTAGCAAAGCTACCCCCAGTTCGCTGGAATTTATATGGACGAAAAGAATAGAAATCTAAGGTCCCGAAGGTTATCGGAGGTGTCACCACTGAAATGAATAGACTACAGTTGGGAGGATATAGTTTAGAAAATAAATTAATAATAATAATTTAATGGAAATAAATTAGAGATATCGGGAAGGGAACCCTAGAAGTGTTACCGAAATTTTCTGACATATATGGGAGACTTGACAAATTTAGGGTTCCGATAATAATTAAAACATTGATAAACAAAAAAAAAAAAAAAAAAAGAGAGAAGAAACTCTCTTGTCCCTAGGAACATAAAGAACTAGAAATTATGAGGAACGGATTGAACCAGTCAAATAAATTCAGTAAAATAGGTCCGGGTACTGAAAGGAGTATAGTACGACCTTATCCGGGCTCGCTAATATATAGCCTTCAAAAATTCAAAATAAAGGAAAATTTATTAACCATAGAGATAACATAGGAAAAAATAAAAACGGCCTGGCTCTCCAGAAGAAACCTCACTTCCAAGAGATTTCTCGAAGAAGAAACGTGTGCTCGTTTAAGTTAATTTTTTTTTTTGAAAAAAAAGTGTGTTTTAAAATTTTATTTTTTTAACAATGGAACAAGGAATGGTCGCCTTTTTTGAGTTCGTGTGGCTAATCCCGGTAGCAGAGGAGCGGGCAACCCTCTTACGCGTCGCGAAAGAAATCGTGCGGCGCCAACGGGTGAATTTGGGGAATGCGGACGTCGCGTTTCCCCAATGGATCCGTCTGAGGGCAACCCTCCAGTTATGGGAAGAAATGCTGGACCTCGAGGACCAATTCCTTGACGGCTTGAGGATCCGCCCGGAACCAACCAGGTGCGGAGCCCCCCCCCCCCCCTGACGCACAAAGCGTCAGGGGGGGGCTCCAGCCTTCCAACCTCCTCCTCCGCCACCCCAAGAGTTTCCGTTCCAACCAAGGGAATACGTTCCAGAAGCCGTCGGTAATCCGGAGTATTATTACCCGCGGTACACGGGATATGCCGCAAATCCGTCGCCGCCCGTGTACGCGGAACTCCAGCCAGTTAACCGGCCCACCGCGGAGCCGTCCCTTAGCCAAAACAGGGACGGCCAAAGGGAAGGGGCAGTTTCCCCAGTACCCTCCGCCCTGAGACCCCCATCAAGGCCCGCTATGGTGGGATTAGGTAGCACACCCGCTCCGTCCGCTGTCCCGGCCTGATCGCCTTGGCTCCTGGCCAACCCTGTACGAGTGCCCCAGGTGGTCATACCGCCAGTAAACCGGCGACGCTCCAGATCCACGACGCCGGCGCCCTATGAAGTGGACGCCATGGAAAACCCTTTGAGGCTAAGGTTTAGACGAGCTGGCCGGGACTCCGAAAATTGAAGAAAGAAAAAAAAATAATATAAGCAAAAGTTTCCAGGAGGTAAATAGCAACTAAATTTTGTGTAATTCAGTTAAGTATTAAAAAAAAAAAAAAAAAAAATCGCTTAGCACGTACATAATTAGGTTGAACGATCAGATAAATACTCACAGAGGGTTCACCAACCCAACCTTATTTTACGAGGCAGGCCCTAATTTATGGTGAAATTCGATACCTTAAGGGGACAGTTGAATAAGAGTTGACCGAAATTATCTTATTCAATATAATTTCGGTTTTAAAGGGCAGAGGGATGTAATATTCCGAGAAAATAGACTCATAAATCACAATGTCATTTACTGTAAAAATTAAATAAATAATCAAACAATCAAAAACTGAATTTCCGTATTTCTAAATCTGTATCGATAAATTAAAAATGAAACAAATTGACGCTACCGTAATTCGACCCCCCTCCTGCTTGTCGTCTTCTGAATTAAATTCTTAAAAATAATAAAAACGAGGAAAAGGTGATGACATCACTAACAACCGATCAATGAACTTTTGTTAGCGAAGGCCTTTCGGCGTACCAAAAATTGAGTCGAATGAATTATGGCATTCTTGAACCCAAACGTTTTGACCTCAATAAATCAGATTATTGTGACATAATTAATTGATTTCAGGCTAAAAATGATATAAAATTCCAAGGAAATTGCATCATCTTAATTGTCATGGAAAAAGAGATTGCGGCCATCGGGTTTTTATATAAATATCGCGTTTCTAGAAGGAACAACCAGTAGTTATTAACAGAGAGATGAGTTCGCAGTCCTGCCCAAACTGAATAAAGATTTTTTTGAAAAGTTTCTTTTACGGCCTCGGTAACAGTCTTTGTAAAAGTAGCGGAAAGTTTTGAAAGAAAGAACATTTAAATTCGTCAACATTTATGTGCGTGCTAGCTAAATATTTTGAGTAATTAATTAGGTAATTTTACGTGTGTTTTATGGACAAAATGTAAGTACTCTATAGTGACAAGATTTATTTTTGATGAACATGACTTTTTGGGCAGTGTGAATAAAAACTAAGCTTTTACTTTTAGTGTTAAGTGAAAGCTTTAGCTTTTACTAGGTAGATTTAGCTTTTGCTAATAGCATTTGCTGAAAGTGAAGTGAATAACCTTTTCCTTTTACTTAATAGCAAAAGCTAGATATTTGAAGCGTTTACTGAAAGTACGGAGATTTCGTGAGGTATCTACAGCATTCTCAAAAAGTGTGTTTACGAGTTTTTCTACTGATAACGCGGATATTTATATTTTTATAAACCGGAATGGTATGATCGGTGGCGTAGAAACATTGAAAGAAGTTAGAAACAATTTAAACAAATTGCTGTATCGAACGCTGTATCGATTGCCAGCGCTTCAAGATGAATAGTGATTCAGACAATTCCATAAGTGAGGAGGAGGTTCCTGAAAAACCTTCAGCCAACCTGAAATTGACAGAAATTTTGGAAAAGTATCAAATAATATTCAACAAATCCCAAAAAAGAAGAGGCATACAAAGAAATCCATCAAAAATATATTGTACAAATTGGAAAAAATATAAGTGAACAACAGCTGAAAAAAAAAATTCAAAATATGAAGACAGAGGTAAAGAAAAAGACCGACAAAAGTGCAACTGGCAATAAAAAAATATTTTGACCTTATGGGAAAGGCAACTGTTAATGTTGATGGAAGGAAAAGAAAACCCAGTTTTCCAAAAAATACCAGGTATGAAAATAAAGTAGGATACGAAATGGTATAGCATCTCAGCCGGTATTTAGTAGAAAAAGTTACACAAAAAAAATAATTGCTGAATGTGTAAAAATATATATAAATTAGAGTCTGGCTGCTGTTTCATAAACAATTTTTTTCAGGAGCAATATCGATAGGATGTGTATTTGAACAACCTCAGCCATCAACGTCCAAAAGTGAGCTACCTGTTCCACCTCCACCTCACGTTAAGCCTCTACCAGTCAAGTCTCCGGCTACCAAAAAGTACAAATTTAAAGAAACTGAAGAAACCTCGAATTTATCAAATTCCGAGCTCCAACGACTGGTATTGTTTGAACAGCTGGAACTAATAAGAATTCAAAAAGAAAGGGAAAAATTATTATTAGAAAAAATACAGAACGAAAAAGGAAACAACGTTGAAGAATCAAATAATTTGTTGTACAGAAATTTGTAAAAAAAATTATAAAATGTTGGTTGTTTCACCTATTATATATGTGTTTATAGATACATGGCATTTCATTTGTGCTTTGAGCGGGTTTTCAAAAAAAAAAGTAATAATCGAAGATCTCTATGGTTTTTAAAACGTATGTCTTAGCAATATTTTTCTGTAATTTTGTAAATGAACTTTAATGTCAAAATGTCATGTCAAAAATCCTGACCAATAGAGAAACAATATATAACGTATGTTTTCGTAATCGAAACAATCTTTGAGTGTTTTTTTTTTTTGAAGACCCAATATACGATATATTTATAAATGCAATTGAAAAATTATATGTTTTATTTCTTCTCGTCTGTTTTGACCACGCTGACGGATGTTATTCAATTCATCATTATCTTCTATAATTTCTGCAATGGCGCGAGCCTCTGTTGTGTTCGCCGAAATTAAATAACTCTTACTCAGTTGGGACGTTTTTGAATACTTTTATTATGTACAGAATAACTAGCTGGTACAAAATCTAGTATAACAATGAATTTTTTTTCATGGGAGTTTAAGATCCTTAAATATAAATTTCTATCTTAATGAATTATTATCTAAACCTAATGATCTATTCCTAAGTTGAAAATTTAATGAGCTTGTTTTTATTTACTCTTAATAATTGAGGAATAATTTGAGTATTGACTCAGATAAATATAATAGGAATATAATTTCGAGTATACAAATAACTCCTTTCTGAAGTTAGGAAGAAATATGATTAGCGTAATTAACTAGATGACTTAATAATTATTGTCATGAGGTTTTGTTACGAAAATATAGTTGATATTGAAAATCCATAATTATACTGAAGAATTTGGGGTTGTTAGGTTTAAGTTGATTATTCCATATGAATGATTAGCATATATGGAATAGGCATATACTATATACTCACAACATCTTCCCCCTTAATGAGAGATTTTATAGAGTGCAATGATATAAAATCTTTAAAAATACGATTAGAAATAATAAAAGGAATAATTCAAAAATTTCTTAAAACTTAGGTACTAAAAAAAAATGATAATACGGTAAAAGATCTATATAAAATATACTAAATGTCTACTTATTTAAAAAAATCTAGGTACTTACAAACTATAGATTATAATCACAAAAACTTAATTTACTTTTCCCTAATTGGACGTCTTGATGGAATGTAACTTATTGTTTTTCGAGGTGCAGGAGGTGAGGATCTAATCGATACTCTTTCTTCTTTATAGCTTTCAGTCTCTGGTTGTTCGACATTTTCGTTTCTGTAATGTGCCACATATCGGCTTCCATGTTCAGAAGTAGGTTCGATGGTTTGATTTACCCGTATGCACAAATTCGGTACTAGGCCACAACAAGATGTCTTAGCACAACATTTTTTGTATATCTTATAATTTATTAAAATTACCATGATTAAAGCTAAGATATATGCTATTATTGAGCCTGAGTATTGGTATTTCGAAGCGTTGTCTTTCTTCTGTATATCGTCTGCTAGCCGTTCGATTTCGTCCAATTTGTGACTTGCTATATTTAGTTCGGGTATGTGTTTTGATAAGCTTTTATAATTTTCGTTTAACAATAAATCACTAGAATTAAAATTATTTTTCATTTCTTTCGTTTCACAACAGTCACTACTTAATTCAAGAGGCGGTACAAATTCACTGAACATTTTTGACTGGATTATATTGTCGTGGGGCACAAGCATTATAGATGCACTGTAAGCTTTACATTGTTTTGATATAGTAACACTTCCGCAAGATTTTAAGACTACATCTATTGGCTTATTACTATTTGTACATGAGATAGTAAGACTTTCTGGATTTGGAACTGCAAATAACCATGTATTACTTGTATGTAATTGAATAAAGAAATTAACAATTCGTCTATCGCAAATATCTGGTATCTTACTAATACCTTGAAGCAATTTTATCTCGCAATTATTAGATAGATGAGCTACTGTGGCTGTTGTTGTTTACAGATAATTTTACTTTCTGTAATTTTTATGCAATTATTAAATTCCATATTTGAAAGTGAAATAAATTGCTGTTTACTTTCATCCAGAGAAATTTATTTTTCTGAAGGCTGAATTAATATAAACTGATTAGGTGCAAATAATTTGGGAAATGGTGATATTTTATAGAGATAGAATAGATATGTTTCCACTAACGGAATATTAATAATATATATTAAACGTTTATCTTCGAAATATACCTGTAATTGGATTGTTTTAAGTAGAAGATTAGCATTTAAAGAGTCTAAAGGTACAGGAAAATCACTACCATGAGGAAGTGATTGGACGACAAGTTTCAATTCTTTAACAAGTTGAACTGGAGTTATAATTGCTGGATGGAGTATGCCTTTTTTTGCTATCAAAATTGCATTGGTCAGTGTCATAACTTCAAGTTGTAGTTGATTAAGGATCATGTTTGTTATTGTTACATGTTCTTCTAAGTTATTCTTTAGTGATAGGAATTTTATTTCGTTCTGATTTTTATTGAGTTCCGTTTTGAGTTTATCCACGTTGGATTTTAAGATGTTCTCATTAAAGTCCAATGTACCGATGGTATTATTAAAATGGATCAACGCAGACTGAACTATTTTGGTCTGTTCCTTCAAGAGGTTTAGTTCGGAAGTGTTTTCTTCAGTGAATTCTTTTATTTTGGATTCATAGTATTGGGCATCTTCTTCGTCCAAAATGCCGAATAACACTTTAGTAGCTTTTCCAACAATGTTAAACCACCCTCTTTTGCTTCTGTGTACATTATAATTATGCCCTACCAATTGATTGAGTACATCTAATTCCTTACTAATTTTATCTAAAGAGTAACTTGCCGATTTTAAAAACATGTCGCATATATAATAATGATATTGTGCATTATTATGGTCGCATAGCTCTGCAGTCATCTTATAATAATATTTAATTGATAAAAATTTTTCATTTAGGCTGCCAAGTTCTACAAATGTGATTAGCTTAAACTTATTGTTGAATAGACGAAGTTCTCCAAGCTTTTCGAAATGGATTCCGGGGTTATATTCCTAATACGTTACATTATACTCAGGCTGGGCATTGGCGGAGCCTAGAGTACTTATTATCAGAATAAGTATTATTCGCATTATTCCGGACCTGGAAAGAAGAAATTTCCTATTTAATAACTAACTATATATATATATATATATATATATATATATATATATATATACGTATAAGGTCACCTATACGAAGCCCGGTATGTACTATCGACGAATGGAAGCCCGGTTAAGGGGGTGCCGGCGGTAAACTGAAACATACATCGTGTTGATATTGCTTCGATTTTACGAATCCCAGCGGTGTTGCCGCGAAAACCTGAATTATATTTTTAAGTGTAAATAAGTGCAATTATTATTATTATATGAAAGTTAGCATCGGAATCTGAAACGCTAATCGAATAATTTTTTTTTTAAAACGCTTTTATTAGCTTCACCTGTATGAATGTATGTTTGTTTGTTTGTTTGTTTGTTTGTTTGTTTGTTTGTTTGTTTGTTTGTTTGTTTGTTTGTTTGTTTGTTTGTTTGTTTGTTTGTTTGTTTGTTTGTTTGTTTGTTTGTTTGTTTGTTTGTTTGTTTGTTTGTTTGTTTGTTTGTTTGTTTGTTTGTTTGTTTGTTTGTTTGTTTGTTTGTTTGTTTGTTTGTTTGTTTGTTTGTTTGTTTGTTTGTTTGTTTGTTTGTTTGTTTGTTTGTTTGTTTGTTTGTTTGTTTGTTTGTTTGTTTGTTTGTTTGTTTGTTTGTTTGTTTGTTTGTTTGTTTGTTTGTTTGTTTGTTTGTTTGTTTGTTTGTTTGTTTGTTTGTTTGTTTGTTTGTTTGTTTGTTTGTTTGTTTGTTTGTTTGTTTGTTTGTTTGTTTGTTTGTTTGTTTGTTTGTTTGTTTGTTTGTTTGTTTGTTTGTTTGTTTGTTTGTTTGTTTGTTTGTTTGTTTGTTTGTTTGTTTGTTTGTTTGTTTGTTTGTTTGTTTGTTTGTTTGTTTGTTTGTTTGTTTGTTTGTTTGTTTGTTTGTTTGTTTGTTTGTTTGTTTGTTTGTTTGTTTGTTTGTTTGTTTGTTTGTTTGTTTGTTTGTTTGTTTGTTTGTTTGTTTGTTTGTTTGTTTGTTTGTTTGTTTGTTTGTTTGTTTGTTTGTTTGTTTGTTTGTTTGTTTGTTTGTTTGTTTGTTTGTTTGTTTGTTTGTTTGTTTGTTTGTTTGTTTGTTTGTTTGTTTGTTTGTTTGTTTGTTTGTTTGTTTGTTTGTTTGTTTGTTTGTTTGTTTGTTTGTTTGTTTGTTTGTTTGTTTGTTTGTTTGTTTGTTTGTTTGTTTGTTTGTTTGTTTGTTTGTTTGTTTGTTTGTTTGTTTGTTTGTTTGTTTGTTTGTTTGTTTGTTTGTTTGTTTGTTTGTTTGTTTGTTTGTTTGTTTGTTTGTTTGTTTGTTTGTTTGTTTGTTTGTTTGTTTGTTTGTTTGTTTGTTTGTTTGTTTGTTTGTTTGTTTGTTTGTTTGTTTGTTTGTTTGTTTGTTTGTTTGTTTGTTTGTTTGTTTGTTTGTTTGTTTGTTGGTTTGTTTGTTTGTTTGTTTGTTTGTTTGTTTGTTGGAAATCTCTGGAAACGCTTGGAAAGAGCGTGGAAGTTTCTGGAGAGGGTCGGAAAAATTCTGCCAAAGGTCCCAAAAGACCTGGGGATCATTTTCCAGAAACCGAGTCAGTCTGTACAAGTCTGGAAAAGGTCTGGATAAATCTGGATAAAGTCTGTAAAGCTCTGGACAAGTCTGGATATTGTCTGGAAATCTCTGGAAAGGGTCGGAAAAATTCTGGAAAAGGTCCCAAAAGACCTGGGGATCATTTTCCAGAATCCGGATGTCTGAACAAGTCTGGATAAAGTTTGGATGAAGTCACTGGTGTGCGAAATAGCTAGTTCACGCACGGCGTCGTGGAAACGTTAAGAAATCAATACCGGGGAAAAAAAGTGTCACTTCACAAACTGTCATGAGTTTGTCATAAT